CCGACCAAACTGTGCAGCTCTGCAACTGCATCCTGGCCCATCCTCACCCTTCTGCCCCCAACCCTCACCTCCTTGTACCCCCAATATGTTTTTCCCAATAAAAAAAATATTGAAAAAAAAAAGAATCAGCAAGACTAAATGTTGATGCTTTGAAAAGATTGATGAAATTGACAAGCCCCTGACAAATCTAAGAGTGGAAAATAGGAAGATGCAAATAAAATAAATAAGAAATTAAGTAGGTAATGTCACAACAGAACCAACTGAAATGAAGAGTAGAATAGATAGCTGTTGTTATGTGTCATCAAGTCACCTGCAACCCATAGCAAACCTATGTACAGCAGATCTGAAGCCTGCTCTGCCTGAGACAGTCTCACTAATTCCGACAAAACAACCCCCATTGCCCTTGTTACTGTATCAATTTTTCTCATCTTGGGTCTTCCTCTCCTGTGCTCTCTCTCCACCCTTCTGAGTATGATGTCCTTCTCCAAGGACCAGTCTGTCCTTCCTGGCCACATGTCCAAAGCATGTGAGATGGAGCTTCAAAATCCTAGCCTCTAAGGAGAAACTTGGTTTCACCATCTCCAAGATAGACCTATTTGTTTTTATGGTATGTTCAAGCACCACAATTCAAAGGCATCAATTCTTCTGTGATCCTTAGTCATTATCCAGCACCCTGATGCATAGCAAGTAATTATGAAGACCATGACCTGGGTTAGGTGCATTTTAGCCTCTTGACTGATGTTGTTGCTTCTCAGTACTCTGGAGAGGTCCCTGAGAGCAGATATTCTCAGTGCAATTCATCTTTTGATTTCCTGATGGGTAGTACCAAGAGTGTTGATTGTGGAGCCAAGCAAGCTGTAATTGTTAACAACCTCAATCTTTCCTCCATCTATTATGGTGCTGCCAATTGGTCCATTGGTGAGAATCTTTGTCTTTTTTATATTAAGCTTCAATCAATATTGAAGACTACAGTCCTTGATCTTCTGCAGCAAGCACTTCAGGTCCTTCTAAGTTTCAGCAAGCAAGGTTGTGTTATCTGCATAACACAGGTTGTTGATCAGTCTTCCTCCAATCCTGATGCCACATTCTTCCTCATGAAGCCCTGCTTCCTGAACGATCTGTTCTGCACATAGATCAAAAAAGTATGGATACAGGATGCATCCCTGACACATTCAATCCCTGATTGTGAGCCATGCAGTGTTTCCTTGCTCTGTTCTGAGGACTGCTTCCTGGTCCAAGTACAAACAAGTATGTGTTTCATGTAAGCACAAACAAGTGTTCTGGGATTCCAATTTTCCTTAAGGTTAGCCACAATTTGTTGTGACCCACACAGTCAAATGCCTTTGCATAGTCAATGAAACAAAGATGGGCATTTCTCT